CCTGTAGTCCCAGCTACTCATGAGGCTGAGGCAGGAGGACTGCTTAAGCCCAGGAGTTCAAGTGTACAGTGAGCTATGATCGGGGAACTGCACTCCAGCCTGGGTGACAGAGCAAGACCCTGTCTCTAAAAGAAAGAAACAAACAAAATTATATGGAAAGGCTTAGGACCTAGAACAGATAAAACAATTTTGAGAAAGAATAATAAACTTGGAGAAATCACACTACCTGGGCTTAAGACGTATTATATAGCTACAGTAATCAAGACTATGTGGTGTTGGCAGATTATAGAAACATGATCAATGGAAGAGAATAGGGAACCAAGACACAGATCCACACAAAGATAACCAAGTGACTTTTGACAAAGGTGCAAAAGGAATCCAATGAAGGAAGCATAGTCTTTTCAACAAATAATGCTGGGGCAATTGGATACATGAAAAATGAACCTCAGCCTAAGTATCACAGGCTTATACAAAAATTAACTCAAAATGGATGATAGATTCAAATGCAAAATGTAAAAACTATAAAACGTTTGGAATAAAACATAGGAGAAAGCCTTTGGGATCTGGGGCTTGATGAAGATTTCTTAGACATGTCACCAAAAACATAATCCAAAAGAAAAAAATAATCGATTGGACTTAATCAAAGTGGAAAGGTTTGCTCTGTAAAAGACTCTATCAAGAGGCTAAAAAGGACATAACCCCTTTGGCTAAAATGTTATCAACATTTCCACCTACTCCTGAAAAATACACTGACTATAGGAGGCTTTTACCCAATCATCTCCACTACTTTCAGAGTATTATTCTCTGTTAACTTAGTTGTACCTTATTTTCATCCCACTAAAATTATTTATTATTGTTTTAGTTTTTTCAGTCAGTATTTATTTAGTTTTACCCATATGTTTATCAATTTCTTGGCTCACCATAGCTTCTCAAATTTCTCTATTTTCTTTGGCTTCTTTCTTTCTTTTTTCAAGAAATACATCTTTTAGAAGTTGTTTTCAGTGAAAGTATGTTAAAATTAAACATTTTTGGTCTGATAAACCCATCATAAAAAAAATTTAACAAGTTGAAAATGCATTTAGTGCTGGAAACACAGAAGATGACCCCTGACTTACAATTTTTCAAATTTATGATGGTGCGAAAGTGATTTCAATAGAAATGTAGCCCCATTGTAAGTCATAAGGAGCTCCTTGACTTACCATAGGGTTATATCCTGATATATCCATTGTAAAGTCTAAACATTGTAAGTCAAACCATCCCATCACAAGTCAGGGATTGTCTGTATAACTTTGAAATTCCTACCTTTATGTCAGAGTTTCAGTTCTAATTTTCTCCTCATTTTCCATTGGGTGAGCCAAAGTTTTTGCTACTCTTTCCTCCTCTAGATTTACTAGACTTATTCCCACCACAGAAACACACTTTTCTGTACAGGACAGCTACAGTACCAGCTTAGATGCTTGCCACTCAAGTTGTCAACTCTTTTTTTTTAAACCCTGTGATTTCTGTTATTTTTTTTTGGGCTCTGCTATGCCTTTAAAAGTCATTTTAGGATGCGCACAATGGCTCACATCTATAATCCTAGCACTTTGACAAGGCAGCAGAATTGATGGAGGCCAGGAGTTCGAGATCAGCCTGAGCAACATCGCAAGACCCTGTGTCCAAAAAAAAAAAAAAAATTAACTGGGCGTGGTGCCCACCTGAAGTCCCAGTCACTCAGGAGGCTGAGGCAGGAGGATCACTTGAGCCCAGGAGTTTGAGGTTGCAGTGAGCTATGATAATGCCACTGTACACTAGCTCGGGTAACAGAGCAAGACCATGTCTCAAAAAAAAAAAATTCAATTTAAAGAAAAAATATTACTTGTCTTTCTAACTGTACCTAGAGAGTTTTAACAATATTGCCAGAACACAAAATTCTCATTTGTTTGCTTGTTTACCAAGCCACGGAGTTATGCTGTGAAGTTTTGTGATTTAAGTGGATTTAGTCGGAATCTAAAATCATAACAAAGGTGGGAAAGATCCTAAATAATGTATTAAAATGTTGCACCAAAATTCATTGTAAAAAATCAACCATGTGATTTTTTTAATTATTTAGAAGTACCATAAAGACTTACCTTAGGACTGACAAAAGTTCTGCTTAAAGTCTCTATTTTTGTTTCTTTGCCTGAATCATTACAAGTGGTTTCAGGTTTAGTCCTACACGGTTTTCACTCCCACACTAATATAAACCTGTTGATAGACGGAATTAATATTCTAGCTCCAAGACTTAACTTTGAACTGTCAGCTATTATTTTTATATGACTACCCCTAGTTTTGTGCTGATCTGGTAGATGTAACTGATTCATGAAAAATCAATTGGTTAAGACTCTCAGGGTGATCTGTTTGTTTTTTGCGCAAGGTTATTCAGAGCAATGGGAGTAAAAAATAACTCCTGAAGGAGAACTATAATTGCTTTGAGGTTAAAAAATAAAGTAGATGGCTCTGTTTGAAGATAATGGACAATTTTTGTTATTATTTAGCATATTTATCTTTAATGCTTGCCATGTATATTGGAACCGCTTTTCTTGATTATTAACATTATTGAAATTATTAAGGAAAGTAACAAAATAAATATCATGGACAATCATATTTTATCTCAACGTCTTAAATAAAGCATTTCACTAATCAGACCATGTTAACTGATAATTAGGTCCCTCCACTATTTTTTTTATTAGAGGTGTTCATTAGAAGCCAAATAAGTATGCCATAGTTGCAATTGGTTCTCATGGCCTTTGAAAGGACACTGATTTTTTTTTTTTATAGAAATATTTATGTCTTTTAAAAGTGATCCTTTTATACTGTCTTAATAAATTAAAAGTATAGCTCATTTATCCCAAGTATCTGCTATTTCTCTTCTCTGGTTAATAATCATCTCCCATCCTGACTGTTTAACTGGAGAATATACTGATAGTGTGGAATGTTACTCTGACGATTTAGAGTAATTAAATCTTGGATCACTGTTGTTTAAATTCCCCTAAGCGATTCCATGAGCATTAACTCTGTTCTCAGCAGCTGTAAGTACATGGCTCCTTAAAGCCTCCAATATTTTCACTTTCACCTTAGCTCGTGTAATCTGGAAATGCAGAGGAAGGAATACTAAGTGTTTATTCTTGCCTCTCCCCACATTGTTTGATTTAAACCATTCACCATGAGACTGCCTTATTTGTAAAAAAAAAAAAAAAATTCCATAAAAGGACATTCTGAGGAACTGCAGGACTCAAAATAATTTTGATAATAATAGTAGACATTTATTGAATGCTTAATAGGTAAGAAGAACTTTTCATCTCTCTGACTTAATCCTTACATTGACACCTGTGGTTGAGGAAGATACTGTTACTATTGCCATTCTGAGGAAGATGCTGAGCTTTCGAGAGTTTGGGTTCCGTGTTTAAGATCAAACTGCTAACATGTAGCATAGCTGGGATTTGAACCTCAGTCCAAATGACACCAAAATCTGCTTTTAACTATCATGTAATGCTGTAAACTCCATGAGACAGGGAGCAGTTCTGTCTGCTGTTCCTAGAACCTAGCACAGTGTCTTCCACCTACTAGCCATTTGGTAAATATTTGTTGAATGAATAAAAAAAATGAGCGAACTGGAAAAAGACTTCCTTATGTTTAATGTAAATTGTGTTTTTTCATTTGTCATATTATTAGGGAAGAAGAGTAATTTGTCAATATTTTCTCTGTTATAGTACGTGATGTTAGCTTGGCACTTTTTGGTTTAGTTTGCAGTCTAGTTTTCATGTTCATATTTATTATTTCCCTGGCTAATTGCTCTGCCATTAGAGTAAGCTGTCATGGATATTGGTGCTTTGATTAAGGTCTTGGGATGTTAAAAGCTAGGTTTCTAATAAGCACTGCAATTTAAATTGAATTAGATGTTAGCTTTTTCTTTTAATTAAAATTTTTATTAAATCAGTTATGCATAAATACTAAAGAAGACTGTCTCTTAAAATATACAAAATTAGGGGAAGGCGAAAAAATTAAACACATTAGCTTCCTTTCTGACAAATCTATAACTATGATCAGTCACTGATGGGTATAATGCTGCATTGTAGTTTTGCTAACAGGCTTGAGCAGAAAGAATCTCTTAAGTCACCCTGGATTACTGCATATCAAGCCCAAAGATGATTCAGAGGGTCTGCAGCATGCTGGCTTAGGGGCTTGTGGGAGACTCGGTAGACTTTGTTCCATCATAGGCTTACTTCCCTGGCAAGTGAACCCTAATTATCTGTTTAGATCCATTAGAGGAAAAGCTCCAGTTTGTTCTTCCAAGATTCTTATCGTAAGTCCCTGTTATGCTTTTTTGCCTTCTGGCCAAGAAGAAAAAGAGGGAAAAATTGTCACCTTTTCAATTTCTGGTTTAAATGAAAACCTCACTATTATTGTCTTTAATTCTTCAATTAGTACATTTCTGCCAGTCCATTTCAAAGCCTGAGGCTGTGTTGTTTCTCTAAACTTAATGTGAGAAGTCCCCTCCTTTCCCAGTGCCTTTCTAATAGTCATATGAACTTATTAATTTTAATCATTGAGATTGAAAACCATGTTTCCTCTTAATGATCCTATCAAGATTCCAATTTTCACATAAAACTGCCAGTGGATTCAACCAGTTCCTGAAATAATTCAAATTTTAATCCAAATTTATCAAGAGAGAAATTAAAACACATGTAAACAGCATTTAATACTTTACAACAGCTGTGCTATGATTTCTTCTCAGAGCTCCCCTGATACTTAATTAAATCATTAAATCACTCTGCATCCTTCTCCAGGCCACACAGTCCTAGAATTTTAGTCTTTCCTCATAGAGTTTATTTCTTAATCCTCATTCTGAAGCATCACTTAATTTCCATTTTCCTTTAATTTGAGAACACTTGAATAGAACATCTTATGCCAGTCAAATGGAATGCGTGTTTAATGCTATGGAATATTATTCTTCACAGCTTTACAATTCTTCTCATCAGTATGGGACTTACTGGAAGGATTCTAACTTCAGTGAGATTTAAACAGAACAACAGTCATCCCTCAGAATCCAGGAGAATTGGTTCCAGGACCTCCGTGGATACTAAAATCCATAGATGCTCAAGTCCCTTATATAAAATGGTATATTTGCCCACAGCTATGCACATCCTTCTGTATACTTTAAATATAGATTACTTTATAACACCTAATACAATGTAAATCCTATGGAAATTATTGTTATACTGTATTATTTAGGGACTATAAGAAAAAAAGTCTGTACATGTTCAGTACAGATACAACCATGCATTTTTTTGATCCATGTGAACTGAAATATAACCATTCTCTTTCTTCCTCTCCTCTCCTTTCCATCTCTCCTCCTACCATTCTGTCTTTCTTTCTCTCTTCTTGCTTCTCATTTCCTTCTATCCTAACCAGGGTCCCCGTGGTCCTGAGGGAGCACCAGGAGAGAGGGGCTTACCTGGAGAAGGATTTCCAGGACCAAAGGTAACAATTCTTCTATACTAGGAAAAAGTGCTTTGTCTTACATGGTCATGAATTGCAAATTTAAAAAAATGTGTCCTAGGCAATTATTAGAAGTCAGGTATTTTCTCTGACCATCTTTATCCTATCAAATTAAGGGATATGTAAACTTCCCCTTAATGTAAAAGTATAGTGAAATTTGTAATTATGACAGACTTTTTCTTGGTTTGTAGCCATTGAAGCCACAGTGATAAGTAGCAATCTTTATGCCCAGAAGTTGTCACTGAGTCTAGCTATGGCAATGCTTTGCTCACAGCTTTGTGAAACACAGTTAAGAAACCAATCTGTGATAGTATTGCCATCAATATAATAAGAAAGGAAATTTTACTACAAGGAACAAAACGTTATGAAAGACCTACCTTTTACCTGGAAATTGAGAATTTAAAGTTTCTTACTGCTTTCCACATATAATTCTTGGAGCTCAAGTTCTTCTACACTAGGGGTTGGCAAATATTTTCTGTAAAGGGCCAGATAACAAATATTTTAGGCTTTGTGAGCCATATGGTGTCTGTTGCAACTACTTAACTCTGCTGTTGTAGCTTGAAAGCAGCCATAAACAGTGTATAAATGAATGAGCGTGGCTGTTCCAATAAAACTATATTTACAAAAAACAGGCAGTGGGCTACATTTGGCCAATGGGCCATAGTTTGCTATCCCCTGATCTAGGCAGTTTACCCACAACCTATGGCACATTTGTCAAAGGCAACATAGGAAATGTTTTCCCCAAATACTATGGGCAGCATCAACAAAAATACAGAGTAAATAAAGATTAATATTTTGGAGTCCTTCTTGATTAAAAATTTCCAAACTCTTTCTCCCAATCATGCACATGTGTGCACACACATACTTCTCAGAGAACCACATGCTGCTTTCTCAGTGTCTAAGACCCTCCGCATCAGTCACTCCACCAGGTCACTAAGATCTGACCTTTTTAGTATGGCCTCATGCTCTAAAAGTACATTTCATTCTTAGCCTCTTTCACCGTGTTCAATGTTCAATTACCTATGAGAAACCTAAATCTCAACCAGAGGGAAAGTAGTTAAAACAAAAAAATCATACTAAGTCATGAGTGACTTGTGGGTCGAATTTTAAAAGAGGCCTTTGTTAACTAATAAATTTTAATTTGTCATAATAATGGAAATAATATGTTGGATAAAGGGACATTACTAATACCTTTGACTAACCAAAGTATCACTGTCAGAAGACAGAGGTTAGCAATTTGGCACTATATCACAGAAAACTTTAGGTAATAATACATAGTTTCTTAAAATTTTTTTTGGCATATAATAAATTTCTCTTCATGTGTAGTCCAAACAATGTGGAAGATTCAAATAGCCAGAATTATTTCTCTTCATAATCTGTTTTTTTTTTTAAATAAACAAATGAATGAATATATGAACCACTGAAAAGAATATTTCAGGACATGTCTTAGAGACCGTTCAACATATCTTTATATATTATATAAAGTATGATACAATGATATACTCTTGTATATAATTAACCAACGGCACTGCATTGACCTCCAGCTCATCAAAGAAAAGAACACATCCTGTTTGGTGGTGTTTTAGGATCAAGCATATGCGATTATACTCTGTGGTAATGATCAGAAGACCCATTAGTCAGAACACTTTATCCTCCAACTGGTCAGACCAATGGGTGTTTTCTAAATGTGCTACCTGTGGCTAATTTGTAAATGTTCTTTGATTTTACTCTTGGTTCTAATAAATTTATTAAATGAATGCCATTTCTGAGTGATCACATGCTTTACTTTTCATGCAAATGTGTGAAGTGTTATGATTTCATTGATGTTAAGACCAGACCTAGTCAAAGAGGTCATAAAACTATGGAAGTATACCCAAGAAGATTTTCCCATGAATTCTTTTAAACCTAAATTTTCAATGAATTTTTACACATTTGTATACAAAACATTTAATAAGTAATCCAATTCTAGCAAGTATTAGTCCATATACTAATAGTGTGAGAGACAAACTTTCCTTATGTGATGGATCCAGTTTGAGCAATGTGGAAAAGGAGGCTTGATCCAGCTAATTGTATTACGTACTTGATTAGCTATCTCATTTTCAAACGTTTATGTTTAGATTGTAAATTGAGCTCTTTTCCAGCATCTGTGATGCTACATATATATTCTGCTTGGACAGACTCCTTCCTGTTTAAGTGTTATGACTAATTATTTTTACAAGTTGCAAATCTTAGAATCGGTTAGAATTACCTATTTGCAGTAAGCAGTGAATTTGCATGCTTGATTTAAAAAATCAGTTTGAAGTATAATTCATAGTAGTTATTATGTAAATTTTAAAGTCCTGATTTTTGTTAGTCACTGATATCCCTCCCATGTACTTTCAGGGTGAAAAAGGTTCTGAGGGACCAATTGGCCCACAAGGATTACAAGGCCTGTCAATCAAAGGGGACAAGGTATTGTATACAGGGTACACAATAGAAACAATTCCAATAAAATTATTTCTATCATTATTCTATATGTATGTATATTTTTGAACTGTATACATGACAACCATGCCACACAGGTATCCAGTGACTATAAATCTATTATATGAAAGGTATATTATTATGTAGGATGAACTATGATCTGAGAAATCCCATTATTTACATGTATAGAAATATTTTACTTATTTGGGTTCTGACATCCAGCAACTTCTACAATCAGAAAAGCATCTTTGAAGCCAGACATTATCAAAAGATGCCTCTTCCTAATAAAGAAAATAGTTGTTAAAAATATACTGACTTCACCCTATTCCAGAAATGCTTATCCATCCTTAGGCTCTCATTCAAAAATATTACCTTAAAATGGGGTTAAAATAAGAGAACTCACTTAAGAAAACTAGTGTCGATGCCCTTCAGCAAGGACCAAGAGGAATCCACCTACAGTCAAACAAAGGTTTATTGATTCACTACACAGAGGGAGACCACGTACCATGGGGAACCTACAGTGACTCAGGAACTCAAGATGAAATACAAGATATTTCATAGAATTTGGGCTTGTGTTGGATGATTTTGGGGAGCATTCAAGAAAGCGAGGGTTGGCTTTGGATTTGGATGCTATCAGAAAGTGGGGATAATTTTGAGTATTTTAAGGAATCTCATCTAGAAGTTGGGAAAAATGGAGTCAGGCTGAGTCCGGGCGAGGAACCTTTTCATATTGGAAGCCTTCATTAATTTAGCTGTAATCAAGAAACTGCATTTAAGAAACTTGAATTAGATATACTTAAAAATTTATATTATTTTGTAAAAATCTAACTACTACATACTCAATAATTTCTAAAAATGAAAACTATTTGTTAATTTTAAAGTTAACTAACCTTTTAATGACTTTGTTGTGCCTGCTTTTTGTTGGAAAGCATTTGAAAATTTTGTCGTAGCATGGAGGTCCCCAGTTTCAGTTGATCCTCTAGATGGGTATCAGTCATCTGTGACCTTAAGGGCGTCTTGATTTGGGTTAGGTAGGAGAAAGTAGATTTGCAGTAATAAGTGGTTGAAAAGCAAGAAAGCATTTTTTGAGCATGTTGCCAAAGGTGTGGGTATTCTACTGTATTTTTCCATATTTCAATTGGATCTTTCTTAGCATCAAACAATAACTTTAAAATGTCATCTGCTGAGAGCTCAATCAATTCCATCTGTAGTTCTTTAGGTGACTTGGTGATATCAACTAGGTGAGGCTGAAATGCTAATCTGAGTGTGATGTCATGATTCTCAAAGTCAGTGAAACTTTCATTGTATTCTTCAATTAATAGATCTATAAAAGCTGCATATTCTTCAAATGATTCGCATATATCATCCTGCTCATCAGTGACCTTTGCTAAGTGGGGAAAATGTTCATTCAAAATCTCCTACTGAAATGTTTTGAAAAAAGATAGCTTTTTTCAAAAGGCTTGGATTTTTTTTTTGCCACATATCATTTATAGACTTAGTTTTACCTTGCAAAGAAATATTCAAGTCATTTTGATTTGACATGATATCACACAGAAACGCTGCATTCCTATAGAAATCTTCTTTCAATAATTCACATTGCTGATTCTGTTCTTCATAAAATTTAACTATCTGTTCTCACAGATATACAATTTTGGCCAACATCTGTCCCTGTGATAGCCAATGCACTTCAGAATGATAATGGCAAATCCACACTGAGTACCTCATTGTTCAACTTCAGCATGTTACAAAACTGACGATGCCGTGTTGCATTTGCAGGAATATAGTTAACAATACTCATAACTTGTTGCAAAGTGTCACTTAAAGTGTTAGCTTTATTGAGGAGATTTTGCTGATGCAAGATACAATGAAAAGAAATGAGAACATCTGGATCTGTTAATACTTTTTAAATCTATGCAATAAACCTTTCATATTTTCCTGTCATGGAGAGTGCTTCCTCTGTACATTCACTCATGAAATTTACCAAATTCAGTCCAACCTCATGACATTATCTTGAAAGTTGTTGAAGATATCTATTACTGATGTTCTGTTTGCAAGAGTGCCCAAAGCAAGCAACTCTTCATAGCAAAGACAATCTGTTATGACCTGAATGAAGTATAAAACCTGTGCTGAGTCAGTAGTATCAGTTGATTCATCCAAAGCAATTGAATAATATACATTTTCCTTTTGAAGTATTACATGAAGTTATTCTGTTAAGTTGAAGGCTAATTCATACTGCCGATCAGTTGGGTTTTCCCTGAAAGAGGCAGTCATTTGTACTTTCAAATGTTATTGGGGTCTAAGCACCCTACAACTTCAACGATGCATTCTTTGACAATTTCTACATCACTGAATGGCTTCCCTTTTTCTCAAGTATATAAGCTACTTTATAAGTTGCCGCAGTGGCATTATTTCCAGATCTTATTGCTGCTTGAAAGAATTGTCTTAGCTTTTGCTTTTCATCTTTTAATTTCTGCAATACAATCTTTGTGCTTCTCCCTCTAATTTAAAATATTTGTGGTCCTTATGAGTGTTACAATGCTGATGAACATTGAATTTCTTTAATGTTAATATTGCAGCATCACAAAGCAAGCAAATCATCTTTAGCAGAAACAAGATAATATTGCAATTCCCAATCCTCATTAAAAATCTGTTTTCTTCCTTCAGTGTTCTCTTGGTTTTCTTTGACGTGATGAACTATTAAGCAGACAGAATTAAAAAATACTGTTGAGCTGTGCAACTGTTCACAAATTCCACTTCAAACAGAAACACAGGATACCCTTGTCAAAAGCTGATAACAGACTGGTGTATTTGATCCCCATAAACTCTCCCCAACCAGCCTGATGCAGTAGTGGTGCCAGTCAGGCGGGGGAAGTTAGAACTAAATCATGAACATAGCAGCCGTCAATTTAGCCCTTGTGGCTTACTAATGTTCTAATTGTGTCGTTCAATCTGGGAGGATTATTTCGTTGAAACTTATTTTTTTCTCTGTTATTTTAAATACGTTCATTTTAGAAATGAAATAAAAATATAAAATAAGAACAAAATGTACTAATAAAAATAAAATGACTTATTCTGTAAAACTTGCCCCTGGCTGGGCCATAATTGGTAAAGAAGTAGCAGTCACTCATTTTAGCCAATGTAGGAGGATGTTTGACCATTTGGAGGGTTTGGACAGTATTTGTTGTTTTTGTCTGTGCTCAGACATGATCATGGAGTGGTCTTGCATTTTTCTTGGTCCATCACAGTCATCAAGCGTCCTTATCTGATGTTGATTATCCATAAAATTGTATGTGTTCAGCACCACAACCTACTGCCAGGGTCAGGTCAGCTCCTGGCTGTCAGGGGTTGCTTTTCTTTTTCTCATTAGTTATTTATGGTCTTTAAAATAGCTGCAAATTATACCAGATTATAAATGGGAGTCAGGCTAGTGATAGAAACTACTGGAGACTGATAAGGCCCTAAAGAGCAGTGGAAGTGAAGCTGCCAGAAGGGGAGGGGATATAAGAAATATGCCCCAAACAGAGACCTCGTATCAGCTGGAAGTCATTTATATGTCAACCTGGAGGCATATCATTATCATATATTATATTAGAATAACAATGATATTCATGATTATCTCAAGTGTTGGGCTTCAATCTTGAATGACTTACTCTCTTTGTTTACTGGTAGTTGTCTCTTCTGGCTGTCTATATTTAAATAGCAGAGATAATGATAAATAGTGAGTTATATAAATTTTGGATATAATAAAATTCTTGTTTCACATCATTGAGCTCTGGTTGTAACTGCAGCTCCAAAATACTCCAAAAAATATGTAAGATGTTCTTTGTTCCTCTGGAGCAGTGAGAACTGAGTACAATGGAACCACTGTTTTATGAGTTCACTAAGTTAACTTTTTCAGGTGGCGTTGTGACATGGTGCTTACATTTTTACATCTGGAGCTCATGCAAAGAAAACACTGAAATATCAGGACATTGTCACATAGCATAGCTTTTATCTGTTGTTCCCGTACCAAATCTATACCATTTCCCTTTTTCCTTCCTCCTTTTTTCATTTTCTATTCTTTTACATATAAAATTAGATTCAGAAACTTTCGTATCTGAGATTCCAGTGATAAGATAAACTCCCCTATGATAAAGGCCCTCAAATATATATAAGTGATACAAAACAAAGAAGTAGTTATGAGAAAGATACTTAAGTGTAAATAACACAGCATAAAAGGGGCCCTCTCTTATGTGTTTATTGAATATTTGCAAAATAGTGGTTATAAATTGGGTTCTGGAGTCAGAGACTGGACTTGAATGTGACCTCTGCCATCTGACAGTTGTGTGACCTGGGGTGAGTTGTTTAAGCTCATCTGGAAAAGAGGGATGCCCCCTTCAGAGAGTGTTGTGAGGATTAAATGCGATAAAGCATGAAAAGCCTTTAGCACAATGGCTAATAATTCATCTCTGAATCAGAACTTGACTCCATTACATTTTCCTTCCACCATGTTTATTTAGACCAATGATTGATACAAAGGAAACACTGAGAAGCACATTGCAGGGCATATCTTAGTGCAGGTTCTATATACTATAATACTGTATAAAGTTTGATCTGATGATATGTTTTTGTTTCTAAAAATATGTATTTAGCCCAGACATTGGCAAAGTATGAGCCTGGTTGCCTGTTTTTGTAAATAATATGTTATTGGAACACAGGCACACCTGTTCATTTGTATATTGTCTATAGCTACTTTTGCACTACCAAAGTAGCATTGAACAATTATGCAAGAGATGTTATTATGGCCCCGAAGCCAAAAATAGTTACTATCCAACTGCTTAAGAATAAGTTTTATAACCCCAACGTAGTCCAAATACAATTGCCATTACATTAAGTGTCTTAAGCATGTTGCGCAATCCAATGGTCCATTCTCAGTTGTCAACTTACTTGACCTACCAGTAGCATTTGGCAGATGGATCCCTCACCTTCCTGAAACACTCTCTTCTCTTGGTCTCCCTGGCTGCTCCTTCTTAGTCTCCACTGCTGTGGCTTCTTCATCTCTCTGACCTCTAAATGGGGTACTTAAAGGGCTCTGTCCTTGGACCATCTCTTTTTTTCTATCGACTTGGCAAATTCACTCAATCATGGCTTGAAGTACCTGACTGAGGAGGGCTCCCAACCAGCCCAGACCTCTGCTACCTACTTGGTATCTCCACTTAGATGTCTGTTTTAGGCATCTCAAACTTGTATCTAAAACTGAGCTCCTGATATCACCCCCTTCATCCCCACCCTGCTTCTCTCTCAGGCTTCTCCTTGGTAAGTGACAACTCTATTCTTCCAAGGACCTTGGAGACATCTTGGAGTCCTCTCAATCCAGCAAATCCTGTCGGTTCTACCTTCAAAATACATGAGGGTCCGAGTACTGCCCACCCCCTCTGCTACCAACACGCTGGTGCGTGCCCCTATCATCTCTCATGTAGATTTCCCTTCCGTCTGTTCTCAATACAGTTTCTGATTGAGCCTTAAAAACTAAGATTTGTCTTTTCGGCAAAGAGGATTCTCATCTCACTGAGAAAAAAGTCCTAACAATGGCCTCAAAGGCCCTGTTGATTTTTCTGCCTGACCCTGCTGCCATAGTCCTCTGCCTCCATTGTCTATTGCCCACTGTCATGGTCACAGCTGCCCTGCACTATCTCCTTGCTGTTCTGGAACATGCCAGCAGTCACCCTTGCACTGGCTGTTTGCTTTTCCTCCAGATTTCTACCTCTCTCAATTCTTCTCATCAGTGAGGCCATCCCTGGCCATCTTATCCAAAATTGTCACTGCCTCTCTCCTTCCCTGATTAACTTTTATCTATCTGTCTTGTTTATTATCTTTGGTTTCCCCTAGCAAAATGTAAGCTCTATTTGAGGACAGCGATTTTGAGGTGTTTTGGTCACTGTTGTTTCTCTAGTGTTTGGAATAGTTCCTGGCACATACTGGGTACTCAACAAATATTTGTATGAAGACTCAAAGAATGAATGAATGATATTATTCTTTTTGCTGATAACTCTTACTTTGTTTTTTCAAATTCATGGAAGGAGAAGGTGGGCTCTTTAATTTTGTTGAATTCACCTGAGATCATTCTTTAATTTTCAAAATGCATTTTAAATACATTTTGGAGGAAAATGGTGTTTAGAAAAATTTTAAAATAGTTTTTCTCAGTTTCTCTCAAATCCCAGTTTTCTTGTACCCTGTGAATTTTATACTTTTAAATATTTCTGTTATGATCCTAACAGCAAGTGTTTGTGTCATTATAATAACTATTCAGGAATTTTTGGTTGTGAGAAATGATAAGTCCAAGTTGGTGATCAAGCTGATGCAAATGCTCACCAATTTGGACTAAATAGCAAAAATGTCATTTACTATTTTGGCAAATTTAAACTATAAACTGCTTAGAAGGAATGAAATGAAGTTTTGTAATTTTCCATGTTGAACTTTTTTATAATGTAAAGATAGATTTTAATCTAGCCTAATTCCAGGTTAGCAAAATGTGAAAGAATAAGGTTTTATTTTACTTAAAACCTTATTTTATTGTTATATTTCTGACTTATTTTCCATACAGGGGGATTTAGGACCTGTGGGGCCCCAAGGACCAATGGGCATGCCCGGAATTGGGAGTCAAGGGGAACAGGTAATTAACGCTTTCTTGCTTTGCTTTTGGTATAGAATATTCTGGCCCAAACTTGATATTCACTGAAGGCCAGTCCTGTAAACATCCGTGAGTATATTTGACAGTCAAATTGCAATGGAGTATAAGTCTAGAAGAAAATGTAGGGAAGAATAAGATGGTTTCGTAAGAAGATTTTATGTTTTAGAACTTCCAAAGACAATTTATTAAAAAATAACTTGTGTGTTTCATGATGCTGTGAATTTTAACATTAAAACCTAATAAGGGCCGGGCGCGGTGGCTCACGCCTGTAATCCTAGCACTCTGGGAGGCCGAGGCGGGTGGATCGTTTAAGCTCAGGAGTTCGAGACCAGCATGAGCAAGAGCAAGACCCCGTCTCTACCAAAAAACTAGAAAGAAATTAATTGGACAGCTAAAATATATAGAAAAAAAAAATTGGCCAGGTATGGTGGCACATGCCTGTAGTCCCAGTTACTCGGGAGGCTGAGGCAGTAGGATTGCTTGAGCCCAGGAGTTTGAGGTTGCTGTGAGCTAGGATGATGCCACGGCACTCTAGCCTGGGCAACACAGTGAAACTCTGTCTCGAAAAAAAAAAAACAACACCTAATTAAGGGTAAAAAGTTTTGGGGTAATACTTTATATTTTTAGTTTCTCTTGGGAGCCATAGTTTATTTACCTGTTTGTGTATTTTTTCTCCTTGAAGATTTGAGAGTGATTAAATTCCATTCTCTCCCAATGGAGTAGAGCAGTATCTCCCACCCTCTAGCCACATACCAATCTAAAAACAAGTATTAAACTTAAGCCTGAGACCAGAGGTAACCACTTAATTTACAGGTCACTCTTTCTGGATAGAAGCAAATCACAGACAGGATTTATAAATGACACCTGGATCCTCTTGGGCAGAAGAAAGGAAGCTGCTTCTAGAATCTTCTAGTAACTTTAGAAAAAGTTGGGCAATTGTGTTAAATCTAAATAATGTGACAATAGTATAACAGTACTATCTGCTGTTGTTTACCATATGTTTTTACCACATAGTCTCATTTAATCAAAATGACCCAGGAATCCAGGTTTATGCTGAATATCCTCTTGGCTAGAAAGTGGCAAGTGAGTTTGATTAAAATGTATGATTCAGATGTGAAGAATTCTGTTGCCTAGAGAATGAAGAGTGCTTGCTTTATATAGGGTAGTGGGAGAAGGGAAAAATAAAAAAAGGGATAATTCCAAATCTCATTGTTGACATTAACTTTGAGTTTATTTCTAACCATCTGCAAATTTATTATTATTATTGTTACATTTTTTTGTTAACCCAAGAAACAGCAAAGTTGGATATGACTCCTTTTTCCACTTCCTTGCCCTTGGCCGAGGTCCTAGTGTAATACACTAGGAGGATTAAGGTGCAGAAGAAGCCAAGATAAATCTGTAAATAAATATTTAGATAATAATTAAGAGCTGGATATGTTCTCAAACTTTGCATTATAGTTTATTTGCTGGTTTTAACAGGGGTTATGTTCTGATTCTGGAAGTGGCTGGACAGTGCTGCCACATCCTGGGTTTTGTGGTGTTCTGGTGTTGAGTTACTACTACGAGGATAAAAATGAGGTTCAAAGACAAATCTGCCTGTGAACTCTGGACCTCCCACCTGGGGCTTCCTGTTGCCTTTAATGCTGGCCCTTGATGGAGCTTGTTGTTCTTAAGCCGTAAAAAAAAATCTGACTTCCTTCATTTTCAATGTTCTTCTTATCCTTAATTTGACATGTTTATCAGCTGAATTCTTGTTATATTAGATCTTCCCATTTCTCTTATAAAAATGAATATTCTCCCTCATCTGCTTATGAAGGAACTTTTGTTTCCAGTAACATGTTTACAGTATCTCTCAAATGGCCTCCAGAGTTTCATTAAATATGAATATGTGGAGCCTTGATCACCTCAGCTCTAAAGTGAATTATAAATAAAATATAAATATAAATAACTGCATAGACACATGTACATATACATATGTGCACACCCTTTTTTATACCCACAATATGAAAGGGAAAGTCAAGTGTTTGAGCATTCTTCAGTTTGGTGTCTGCTGACTATTGGTTCTTAGAGATTAGATCAAAACTTCAATTTATTTATTAATAACATCCTCATACATATCAACTGGTACAAATAGGATATAGGTTTGCCTGCATGTGATAGAGCTATGAAATGGGTAAACAATTTCGTAGTTAAAATGTAATTTTATTTCTCTTATTTAAAACTCCAAGCTATGTGGTGGCTCTATTCGTCAGTGTCCTCAGGGGCTCAGGTTTCTTCATTCTTGCTAGTCTGCCATCCTGAAGGTGCTTTCTTCATCTGCAAGATCTGGATGCCACCATATCTTCATTCCAGCCACTGGGGAAGGGGAAAAGAGGAGAAGGCATACCTCTTCCTTTAGCACGAACCGGAAATTGCACGCATCAATCTTTTCACATCCCATTGGCCAGAATCTAGTCCATATGACCACACCTGGCTGCAACAAGGACTGGGAAATGTGGTCTTTATTCTAGGCAGCTATCTGAGCCAGTTAAAAATTTTCTTACTGTGGAAGAAGGAAAGGATGCATATTATAGTTCAACTAGCAGCTTCTGCCACCCCATTTGACAGACATTTATTGAGTATGAGTAATCTATTGTGGAGCGTGAACTAAATTTTTACTTTAGAGGATTTGAAACTACTCTTATTTAAATGTCTTATTTTTTTTGTTTACCATATATAACATTTTATTTTTCTCTTACTATTCCAGATTGTTCTTTATCTTTGGTTTTCAGTAGTTTGGTTATAATAGGTATTTGTAAATTTTTTCTACATTTTTCCATTTTGTTGTTTATTGAGCATCTTAAAAAGACATTTGTCTTTTACCAAATTTGGGAATTTGTTGGCATCAAATGCCTTCCTCCCCAGGAAGTCTTTTCTAAGACTCCAATGACATGAATGTTAAACCATTTGGTATTGTCTTGCAGATCCTGGAGTTTCAGTTTATTTTTCAAATCTCCTTTATTTGCTGTCTTCATATTGTGTAATGTTTATTAATTTGTATTTCTATTTACTATCTCCATCAGTTCTCCATTTTACTATTTAACCCATATAATAAATTATTTACTAATTTAAAGATATTCATTTTTCAAACATTAAAGTTTCCATTTCGATATTTTTTTTTACAGTTTCCGTTTCTCTTCTGAGAAACTAATGCCTTCTTAATTTCACTATTTTTACAAATTTTATTTTAAAGGGAATCCAAGGTCCTGTCGGTCCACCTGGTCCACAAGGGCCCCCAGGACAAGGCTCACCTGGTTCCAAGGTAATGTTCTAAAGGAGAGGAGAGTTTAATATATTTTACATTTAACATATTCACATTATAATTGCTGTTTTCTGGTCAATGCCAGTGCATTTGTAACAGAACAGATAATACACTTAAAAATCAGAGATCTCTACTTCATGCAAAATGTATATATTCCATATACCAAACTGAGTGAAAATCTATCCATCTGAAGGGACTTCAGGCAATATATATATATATATGAATTGAACACGTGAAACTGTTTTATCTTACTTTGTTGATATAAGATAGCTCTTAAGAGATTACAAATAGGAATATATTATTACTATTATTTTTTGCTGCTGTATTCAAATACTCTTTCCTCACTAGGGAGAAGTAGGCCAAATGGGACCTACAGGCCCTAGAGGACCAGTGGGAGTTGGAATACAAGGTCCAAAGGTGAGTTGACCGTGCTGCTCAGAAGTGATTTGATAATTTATGTAATATTATGTAAGATTTATTTTATATCCAAATGCAACACAGATCACGCATGTGTCATCTAACTATATATAACCTCTTTCTTTTAACTTTTTAAATGGGGCTACTACTACCACAAAAGTTATATTTACATGTATGGCTTGCTCTATATTTCTATTGGACAGTGTTGCTTTAAAATATACACTCCACTGGAGCAGACACCTTGGTTATCTTGTTTATTAATGAATCCTCAGCTTTGGTGACATGATAGGTACTCAATAAATACTGTTGAATAAATGAACGAGTCCTTGGTTTATCCTTCACAATTTCTGTAACTTATCCTGAAGTTGTATAGGACCTGGGGAACCATGTTAAGCACTAAACTTCACCATTGTCCTGTTGTCATTGTCATTATTCTTATAAGAATTTGAGTATTGGAAGAATATGTAAGATGTAGGTCTAAGAAGAATATACATGTTACATATATAAACATAAAATTACAAAATTACAATTTAATTACAATTAAAAATGTATTAATATAGTAATAATAGTAGCCATTTTTCCATGGTTTTGATGTGTTACACAATATGCTAAGTGCTAAGTATGACATACAAATGAGTATACATACATGTAGTATATGCATATGTATATATATGTATACACACATATTCTTTTATACGTATGTCAATTTCAGAGAGGCAACATGCAATGTAGTAAGGCTCCACAGTTAGACTAAGTTCAATTCTCAGTTTTGCCACTTATTACATGTGCAATCTTAAGCTTCTCTTACTTTAAGAAATAAATTATTTCATATATACTTGCAAATATAGAGAAAACACAAAGAAAAGCTATGTATTCCACAGCCCAGATTTATCAAATGTTAACATTGTGCCATATTGACTCTAGGTTTTTTTTTTTTTTTAATTTTTTGAGATGGAGTCTTGCTCTGTCACCCTGGCTACAGTGCAGTGGCATTATCATAGCTCACTGCAGACTCAAACTCCTGGGTTCAAGTGATTCTCCTGCCTCAGCCTCCCAAAGAGCTGGGACTACTGGTGTGAGCTTCTGTGCCCAGATCTGGATTTTTGTGAAAGAAGCATTACAGACACAGCTGAAGGTCCCCACTTGTCCTCCCTGATCCCATTGTTCTCCCTTTCCTCCCCAGATGTAATCATCACTGTGAATTTGTTGTTTATCATTCTTTTGAAGTTTTTATAATTTCCCACTCATGTTTTTATCAAATCATATATTGCTTTTTGCATTCTTGAACTTAATGTATCATTCTGCAATGTGTTTATGGTCAGCCATATTTTATTTGTGCTTTTATATGCCTCTAATTCATACATTTTAATCGCTCTATAATATTCCATTGTATGAAAATATCTTATTTTATATTTATCCATTTTTCCATTGATGGATATTTAAATTGTTTCTCGTTTTTTGCTTTTGCCAAAAATGCTGCCGTAAATATTCTGTTTCCTTTTGTATAAGTCATAGTACAAGCTTCTCTGACTTGTAGAAGATATTAATAGATAGCTAGAGGTACAATAGGAAGATCATAGAGTAGGCAAGTCATCAATTTTGATATCGCAAAAATCCTATCCAAAATGGCTGTGACAGTTTACCCTCCTGCTAGCAAGAGGTAACGACATTCTTTTCCCTACATCCTTGCAAATATGAAGTGTATACAAATATATGCTATTGTATTAATGTTTATTCCCTAATAGTTGTTTCAACAGTTTTTCATGTGCTTAATGGACCTTC